TTTAGTGCTTCTAATTTTTCTAAAATGTAACAAATCATTGTTTCGTAATATTATTGTTATATATTTTACGAAACTATGTTACCTGATACTGTTAATTCATATACTATCCGCTATACTACCCTAACTCTACTCTACTCGATTTATCGGACAGCATTGAGTTGTCATAAATCATGAAAATATTAGATGTTGTATCTATCATATTTCTCGGCTCTGGTGAAACTAACTCGTACTTACTCCAACTCGAATTATCGTAAACAGCCATTATATGAAGCGCGGAAACGCGGAAGACAAAATCTTACTAGATACGCTACGCGTTCCGCGTTTGTTTTGATTGCCTTATATTATATGAGGCATATTTTAAGCGGAAAAGCGGTATGGGAAATTATAAAATATTAATTTTTAACGGTATTTATTGATTAAAATGCTTGTATTCAACAGATAAGCTGAAAAAATAAACATATTAAAAATTGCAGTAAATTAAGTTAATACAATTTTAAAAAATGAATACAGATGTTTATTTGTCACCAAACCGTTCCGTATTTCCGCGCAAATTGTGCTCCATGTAATATAAGGAGAAATAAAGTCGCGTAACAAGTGCGGAAAAATCCATTGTCACAAGTTGTCACAAGTTATCACAAATTGTTCAACCTAACTGCCGTTACATTAAGACGTGTTCAAACACGTTCGGACCTAATATTTTTTTGGAATTCATATCTTGGTACTTTGGATGAAAAGACAATAGAGAAAAGTTTTGGGTCTTCCGCTTTTTCGCTTTTTCAACATACGGGAAGAAATGATTCAATTCGCGGAACGGAAACGCGGTTTTGTCTTTCGCGTTTCCGCGCTTCATGTAATGACACCCTAAAGCCCGTATCAGACTAGGGTGTATATCAGTTGGACACGGGGCAATTGGACACAGTCCAATCACAAGTCGCTGTTCCAAGGGACCCTACAAATGTCTCTAATCACACGGTGCTGTGATTGGCTGTGTCCAAATGCACCGTGTCCAAGTGCACCGCTCCCATCAGACTACGAATTAAGATTGAGATTGAATTGAAAATTGGCCAATCAGAGCAATGTTCACCAAACTTGAGCTTAGTGAATTTTGCTTTCTCATTCTATCGTATAAAAAGAATATGGCCGCTGTCAAGCTGTTAAGTGCTATATACAGGGTGTCCCGAAGTCCCATGATGACCCTTGGTGAGAACGTAGAACGGATTGAGGTGAGCAAGAAAGTCCTGTGCCGTTTTGCGATATTCGCAATAGTTTTTGAGAAATTAATTATTTTGTCTCAACAAATCAGCGTACAGAAAGCGGCAGCGGAAAGAAAGATGCCTTCGGCCGACGTGCGACCGTGACACTCGCGAATCGTATCTCGCCACATCCTTCCGCCCATAGCTACGAGACAAGAGGCCTGTTCTTTATAGCTGCACTGCTGAACTAGTGCAATAAGTTAGAGTGAGAAAACTTATATTTGTTTCACTTCAATATATTGCACCAGTTCAGCAGTGCAGCTACAAAGAACAGGTCTATAGACTCG